TTTTTTTTTTTCCGGAACCGGGGCTTGAACTCAGACCCTTGCGCTTGCCAGGGAAGCGCTTATTCTACTGAGCTATCTCCCTAGCCCCTACAATTTTACTTTGACACAAGGTCTCCCTATGTTGCTCAAGTTGGTCTCCAACTTATCTTTTAAGCCTCCCAGTAGCTAGGACTATAGGCGTGAGCCATCAAAAACTCTTGTCATCTACACTCGGGGGCTTATAAGGAGCCCTACACCTCTAACAAGGATGCACAAAAGTTCCAGAACGTACTATGCCGTCCTTTGCAAGAGTTGTTCCCGCACCCTGAAAAAATATCTCCTTTCCTCCCGGACTTCCGGAGGAGAACTGCTTATCTTTCAGTTCTGGAAAGTCACTTCCTCCCCTAAGCTTTTCACTTGATCTTAACCAAAAGGCCAAGAAACGATTCAGACACCCCTAAAAATAAAATCTTGCTCACTACAAGCCGAAGGCTCCCTGGGTTACTATGTGCCAGGCAACATATTTGCCCGCTATACGTTGTTTAGGTGTCTATGTCCTAGTCTAAACAGATCAAAGACCTTGTAGGTCCGGACCTTGTAGTCGCCTTCTTTTCCTCAGCACAGCATCTGACACGCGGCTGTCTTCTGCAAATGTTTATTGCTTATATACTGGGAGGGACGGGAATCTTTTAAGTTAACGGGTGAGTTCCCAGGCTCACCGCCTGCGTGGCAGGGCGAGTTCAACCTCTCGCACGTGATTGGCTCCAGATGCAGAGGTGTGTCTGCGACCGCGGCGCAGGAGAAGTGCGCAGGCGCACAAGAATGATGCGCGCAGGCGCGATAAAGGCGCGGCGCCTGGTCGGGTCTCGAGTGTCCGAACTGCAGCGGCCGGACAGGAGTGGCCGGAACCTTTCGGTGAGCTGCCTTGAGTGGGGCTGAGGGAGCTGGTCTGGGGGAAATGAGGGATATAATGAGGCAAAAGAATATCATGACATTTGAGAAGTCCGGACTTAAGCAGAGTTGAGTGTGGTTCGGCCCGGAGTCGGCTTTTGGGCCCGCTCGGAACTCTCGGGAACGCGGTACGGCAGAGGCTGGAGGGGCCGGTGGAGGAAGTGTGGCGGATACCAGTTGTCTGACTCTTCCTGGAAACCAGAGATAAGCTCCCAGCCCTGTATTCCCCACCTCATGGTGTGGTGTGGGCAAAATCAGTGGACTGCTTGGGGACCACTGTGATGAGATAGCTCAAAGAACTGTTTGAAAAGAGCGCTGAAGGTTCATGGCATTGGGTAGTTTTTGCTTTCTAGGAAAGACTTTGCTCACCTTCCTGAGACTGCGCGCAAAGGATAGGTAAAAAATAAAAAATAAAAAAACCCACACCGAATTCTACAATTCAGGGTTGAAGTAGTGAAGAGAAAGGTACGATAAAGTACTGTTTTGGTTTTTTTTTTTTTTTTTGTTCGCTGGGTATAAAGCTTAATTAGCTTATTGTTCATTAATTTTATAAGGTTTTCTTTTGGTTTTTTTTTTTTTTTTTTGGTCCTTAGTTGTTAGTCACTACAATATTAGGAAAGGCAGCTGATGGTAAAAGAAACCGAAAATAGTCAGAATTGAGAAAAGAGGCCGGTCGTGGGTGGCTCACTCCTGTAATCCCAGCACTAGGGAGGCTGAAGCAGGAGGACTGTTGTGAGGCCAGGTTGAACTGCGTAGTGAGACCCTGTCTCAAAAAGGCAAAAAGAGAAAAACAAAAAAATGAGAAAAGAATAAAGTTATTTTACTATTGGTTACTAGTCATTTCCCAGGTTGAGAGTGGTAGAAGACTATGGTTGGAGAGAGGAGTTTGGATACTGTGTTTTCAGACTCCTGAAAAAATGCAGTAGCTTTTTTTGTTTCCTGTTGCTTTTTTTGTTTGTTTCCTGTTGCTTCCCCCCACCCCCCCACTGTCTCACTCTGTAGTTCAGGTTGTGTTCGATTTACTATGATCCTCCTTCCTTAGACTCCCAAGTGCTGGGATTACAGGCCTGTGCTCTCACGGCCAGTTTCTTTGTTTTTTCTTTCTTTTTTTTGGGGGGGGGGGGCTCAGCCCACCCTGGGGGCGGGACTGCCGAGGCCTCGATCAGACTTCTGTCCCTACACTGCCTAAGCAGGCGCTTTAGACCCCTAAGCTATCTCACCAGCCCCTCTGTTGTTGCTTCTTAGTATCAGACATTTTAAGAATTGGGAGGAACCTATTTCATCTACTCTGCTGCCTTTAAAACTGATTTTCCGGCTGGACGTCATGGTACACATTTGTAACACTGGCACTGTGGAAGGCTGAGGCAGGAACTTCAAAAGTTTTGAGTCCAGCCAGTGTGATTTAGATCCCTTCTTAAAACAAAATGTTTTTTAAATGGGTTGGACTGTAGCTCAATATGAAGGCCTTAGGTTCAATCTCTAGTAACACAAAATTAGTTAATTTTATAAAAACCTGGTTCTCACCAGATATGGTGGTACACACATAAAATCTCAGAACTGGGGAGGCTGAGGCAGCAGGATTACTGTGAGTTTGAGGCCAGTCTGAACTATAGAGTGAGACCCTGCCTGAAAAAGCAAAATACTGATTCTCATCAATCCCCAGTACAAATAAATAAATAAATATTTTTAAAAATTTAAAACATTAGAAGTGCATACATGGCCTGGTAAAAATAAAAAATAAATGGTTCTTTTCACATGTGTACGTGTGTGTGTGTGAGAGAGAGAGACACTGAGGATTGAATCCAGGGCCTTCACACTGAGCTACATCTTCTGCCTTTTTTGTTTTTTTGTTTCGGGCCAGGGAGATAGTTCAGTGGAATAAGTGCTTGGCAAGTGCAAGGTCCTGAGTTCAATCCCTGGTACTGAAAAAAAAAAAAAAAAAAAAAAAAAAATTTTGTTTCAATAGTCTTGCTAAATTGGTAAGTTCTCCAAGCTGTGCTCAAACTTTCCATCCTCTTGCTTCAGCCTACTGGAGCTATAAGCCACTAACTATGCCTACCTCCACAGTTATGCCTGTAATGAAGTACCAATAACAGAATAAAAAAAAAATATTCCTGCCACTGCAAAGTTGATGCCTAAGATTTCCAATGATCGCTTCTCATTCTCTTGACAAGAAGTAATAAGAATTGGGGCATGGTGGTGCACACCTGTAATTCTAGTATTTGGGAGCCTAAAGCAGAAGGATTACCACACAAGGTCAGGGCCTGCCTAAACTGCAAAGAGAGACCTTGACTCAAAAAAGAAAAATAATGATAACACATTTGTATAATTAGTTTCCTTAATTTTTTTTTTTTTTTTTTTTTTTTTGCGGAACCGGGGATTGAACTCAGGCCCTTGCACTTGCCAGGGAAGCGCTTATTCCACTGAGCCATCTCCCCCGCCTCACATTTGTATAATTAGTAGCAAATAAGAGAAACATGTTTTTTCACATTTTATGATCCTTTGTCAGGTCATGTGAAAGTAAATTAAATGATCATATATCTTACCCTGTAGTATAAGTATTTATCAGTCTTGCTAGGTTTTTTTGTTTTGTTTTGAGTTTGGTTTTGTTTCTATAAGTGCTTAGGATATATGGATGTACATTGAAAAATGTTGCTATTTTGGTTCTAGAAACAAATGATTTTTTTCTCCATTATTTCTCCAACAGTGCTATTCTTGTTTCCATGAACAGCAGAATTTCTGCCCGCATCTTGGTGTTTCTTAAATTTTGAATGAACTTACTTTATGTACATAAGCTTCCTTGACCTAAAGTCCTATCTTTTCTAATCATTCACATCAACCTAGAATCAGAAAGAAAACCTGCAAACAAAAACAGGCCCTGTGCGCATGACACAACTGTTCATGTATGAATCATACTACTATATAATTTTGGCCATTTAGAATGCAGCCTGTTATTACTTTTAACTTTTGTTGTTATGGTTC